GGGGGGGGGGGGGGGGTCAACATTTTGAAGCCCAAAAAAGTGCATGCATCCATCATAAAAGTGCTCCACATGGCTCTGGGGGTGAATAAAGGCCTTCTGAAGCAAAGTGATGTGTTTATTTTTAAAAAATATCCATATTTAAAACTTTACCGTAATCTCTAGCTTCCGCTAACTGCCGTACACGTGTTCACGAGAGAGTGGCATTCCAGCAGATGATGCAGGCGTAGCATAAGCTCCGGTGAGAATATGCTAGTATCGCAAGAAACAAGTTTTGTTTACAGAAAAGGAAAAGTCTCCTTTTGGCTTATATCAAAATCCGCCAACATTTTTCTTTACAAATCCTCGTTTTGTTTGTCTTAATTCGTGATCGGTGTTTTGTTTTGCTTTCTCCTCTGCACTTCCGGGTTTGGCACATCTCACCGGAGCTTACGCTACGACTACGTGCTACGTCATCCACTATAACGCCTCTCTCTCGTGAATAGAGTATGTGAGCAGCAACAATTTCCCCTCCACACTCCAAGCATTCAATAATCACTCCGCTCCGGGTTCATCATTTCCCGCTCCTCGCTCCACTGATCAGAAACACCGTTCCGCCTTCGCTCCATGACGAATTTTGTGGCTAAAGTATTTCAGTATGTTTTTAAATATCACAAAGTTCTATTCAGAACTTATATTAAACGAAAAATAAATATACAATACTAGAAGAATAGTTTTAACGTGGTTTACTGGAAGACTACAATTAGTCCCAAGTCTATATTAAATGGCTGTTTAGCTCACTTGTCTGTGCAGCGTATCTCTACTATGGTGAAGCTGAGGGTTGTAGTTACTTCAGAAACGGAAAGAATATGCTGTAACTTTTCCGTTTTTAAGCTGATAAATCACAGGACAGCGTTGACAATAATTTTCTGCACTCCTGAATGTTTCCATGTGCGCGCAATCTGTAAGTTATGTGCAAGCTTGTGTGTTGTGCAACAATGTAGCAGCATATTAGTTAAGAGCGGAGATTAACTACCTGTACCATAACCTGTTTAAAACATGAATTCCCCCAATATTGAGTATCCACATGCTACAAACAATCATGCTTGAGATATAACCTCCCGCACTCGTCCATCGCCATCATAACCTTCATTTTCTTTCTGATTTGAGTGATCCACATATCTGTCAAGCTTGCTAATGATGTTTCATGCATGAATTCTTGATACAATGCAGTTATATTATGGGCTTTTGGCATTAATTGTGCTCGTGATGGAGCGGTAGTGGAGCGCTCTCGGATCGAGTGAAAAGCACGACGCTCCCTCTTTTAAAAAAATCCACTCTTCTCTCCAGTCAAAAATCACGCCGCTCTGCTCCCACTCCACTCCACTCACATACTCGTGCACAAGCTCGTGGATATTTTTCTTACACAAATGCATCGATTCGCTTCAGAAGGCCTTTATTAACTCCCATGTGGAGCACTTTTTATGATGGACGGATGTACTTTATTGGACTTCAAAATCTCTACCACTATTCACTGCCATTATAAAGCTTGGAAGAGCCAGGACATTATTTATTATAACTCTGATTGTATTCGTCTGAACGAAGAAAGTCAAATACACCTAGGATGGCTTGAGGGTGAGTAAATCATGGGGTAATTTTCATTTTTGGGCGAACTATCCCTTTAGTTCGCTGTTACCCTGTTAGCTTTAGCTTTACTTTTACAGAAATATTAACAGTTGTTTTCCCTAAACATTGTAGTTTCTCATTACAACACTCTTAAAGCTTATAGACTATAGTTTTTGCAACAGACATCTTTATCTTTGAACACTAATATCTGATATTGTTTCTCCAAAGCATCCTGCATTTAGCTGCTAAAACATTGAAAGGTCTTGATCAATAAATGGAAGTGATATTATGCAATGTGTCACCTATGATTGTTTTTCTAAAAATCAAGTTCAGTGCCACTGAGGGGGCGCAATCACAGCATTAACATTTGTGCGGTTACTACTAGCATGATAAAGTGGATTGTCGTTGCGGTTTTGTGAAGCGGTGGAGCTTTTGCTGTAGATTACTATATGAACATTATATGGAGCTTGAGTGCACTACATGTCTGGAGTGGAGGTGATGCCACCACTTCTGTTCAGAACCGCTCTCAAACATGACTGCATGTTAAAAGTCTGATTCAGCGTTGGCCTCTGTGGAAATGGGTGCAATTGGTTTGTAATATACTCTCGATCTGCTGTGATGCTCTCTTTTCAGGCCGATCAAAGACTTGAAGCCTGTTGGTTTGTTGTATTTTTAATAAGAAGTTATACAAACTTTGTTAGCCTATGCTTTAATTGAATGAAGAAGCCAGTTTGTGTGGAACTTGAATTAGTTGGATTTTTAAAGATTTTGCCAACCTGCAGGTTTGAAAGTAATCACAAATTGTGTTTATTGTGTTTTATGTTGAAAGTCATTCATAGTTGTTAGAAGCAGGTGTCATCCATTCAGCTTTTCAGTTGATAATTTGAATGAATATGGGAGCTGATTTTGACAAAATGTGTTTGTAGTTATAAAGATGTGTAAATGTTAATTGTTTGACATTATAAGACATTAAAAAGATTGTGTAACTCTTCTTTAGTGCTTCAGGACCTTTACAGATTGTGAACTTTTCAAATGTTATCATCTATCTTATTGCATTTGCCGTGGTCCTCTGGTACCTGCTGTGTTTGTTTATGTGGGTATCATTAATTGCTCACAGTTGACTTCCAAATATGCCCCATGTTTTTAAATGTTTTGCTCAAAGTTTGACAAAGATGAAGCACTGTGTTAAAGTCTGGCCTTGTGCTTGTGAGAACCTCCTAGGATCTTGGTCAGACAGGTGAGATGTTGTTTCTGAATTTTAGCTGAATTGTAAGGTGGCACAATACAGAAATATTTAAAAAGAACTTCCTTAAAAATTTACTGTAGAAGATATCATCATTTAACACATTTCAGTACCTGGACATCTCCATATGTTGAGTGAGATTCATGAAATATGGCTTTTAATACATCTACTGAATATTATTTCATTTTATAATCCATCTTTAAATCCAATCCAAATGAGATGTTTAACAATAAGTCATTTTATTATTTTATTAGAGGTTGACAGATAGTGGATTTTACCGATAATGATAACTTGGTTGGGCCGTACTGGCCGATAACCAGTTAATCAACCAGTAGTTATTAAAATGGATACTGAATGGAAACAAACATAAAATTCCAAGTAAAATACTTCTGAACTTTATTACAAAAATCAAAAACAGTACTGAACCTTGAAAATGTATTGTACTTTTTAAATATAAATAGATAATAATATATTAATTTTACCTTGATCATTCATGTCCGTTCAAAGTGCATTGACTAGGACCCTATGATTTCCGCGATGCGAAAAACGTGGAATCCAGTGGAATGCAATCGTGGAATCCAGTCATAAAAACGGAATTCAGAGTTTATGCGGAATGTCATGGAATTTGTCAAATTTTTAATGAATTAATCAAAAGTAGGTCATTACACTTAAATCAAATCGCGATATGGACTAGTATTTGTAAATATTAAGCCGCAAAAGTCGATTTAAATATGAATCCTGCATGTTCTGCGTACACACACATACTGAAGCGCGCGTGACGCTCGTGGTGATTTCAGCGTCTGCCGTCTCACTAAATGAGGACGTAAACACATGAACAACATCTCCAGAACTGCTCAGAGTCACTTCATGTACATTTGACCGTTTGATTTGAGTAAAACTAGTCATATCTCATACACAGAACTGTAAAGGTATTCACGGCAACCCGTCAACTAGTGTTGTCAAAAGACCCGGTACTTCGGTACCAAGTCGGTACTAAAAAAATTAAAATGTTACGGTACCAGGTTTTTTTTAAGTACTGGTGGTACCGAGTACCCGGTTAACCCGGTTCTTGATGCGCTATCCAAAAGGTGCGCAGATGCGCTCTCTTCATAAAAGCACTGAGACGTGGCGACATCAAAACGAGGAAACACACTAAACTAACAAAACACTTTAAAGACACCCAGATCAAATGAAAGAGTTCAAGCTGGTAAGTTAAATTTTAATTTTTAATATTTGTGTTTCCCATACATTGATTTATTTGTGGCGGCCTGCCACAATATCAAAACTGACCGCCACAAATAGATTTTCCAAAAGGCTTTGACTTAGTTGAATAAACATGAGCACTGCACGTGTCAAAGTCGAAACCCGGTGCGGGTGATTTTATATCACTATATTTCTGAAGGAAACAACTGTCTTCAGAAAATGATGGATGTCATTTTCATTTAATCTTGCCTGTAATGCCTGAGCAGCGTTTGTGAGCGCAGCGCTGCTTTGTGTACAGCGTTACCGGGGAAACCTGATCTCTCGCGCGCTACAAGCGCCTCCTGCTGGCAGAGAATGAATTTGCATGTATATGCCGCCACAAATAGAGTGCACGTTCTGGGGGAAACACTGCATATTATTATAATATATTATATATACTATAATATAATATATTATATTTTAATTTGAATGTCGGATTGAAATGAACGCTGTTATTAGAGTAGTTAATCGTTAGCTTAAGCGCGGCTAATGCTAATATAATGAGCATATGAATGAAGTTTCTTTATTAACTATTTAATGCTCCTAAAACTTTTATTAGGGTAAAAAAAAAAACAGGAGGACATGATATTTACTATTTTTACACACTATTTTAAATGTATTGTGAATCTAAAATATGTGTGTTAGAGAATGTACAAATGGTTAACATTGTTTGTGTCATATCAGTCAGAAGTTCTGGGCTTTTTTTTAAATTTTTTTTTAGCTAACTTAGTTGTTATTCTTGGCTGAATAGCTCTAGGTTTTCAAAAGCCCTTTAAAATTAAATATGTACACATTTTGGATTAAATGAAAGTAGTCAATTTTTAATTATTATGTTGTTTTGCTTTGGTACCGAAATTGGTACCGAGAACCGTGGATTTTCACTGGTATTGGTACTGAATACTGAAATTTTGGTACCGTGACAACACTACCGTCAACATAATAGTCCGGTTTGATTTGAAGACTGTGCCTATTACTATTTTTCAGTAGAATGTACATAGTCTACTACTACTACTACTACTACTACTACTGAAATGAAACCAACATTATTTTTTAAGGAATAATCACACAACATTTCTTCCATGTTTTAATTTGAATAGTAAATCCCCTTTGTTTGCCAAAAAATAAAGTTTGCTTAATTTTCAATAATTAAAGGATAAATGAAATTAATGTTTTATGCCTTCATTTGATAACCAGAAAAATTTAAATACACAACACAGAATTTCTGAGGAAAAAAATTAATAAGGCTACTTTAAGAAAAAATAAAAATAAAGTAAGTTGTTTTATGCATTCAAATAATTAGACATGCTAAAACACAGAATTTGGTAACAATAAAAAATACATTTCATAGGGCCCTAAACATGTAATTTTTGTTAAACTTTTAATAAATTGATGTGAAAATGTATGTTTCATGATTTTAATTAATTAGACATGCTTTTTGATTAATGCAATTTAATTTAACTATTAAAAAGGAGTCGAGAAAAATTTAAACTGATAAAAACAGAATCCAGAAAAATTCAAATGGAAAAAACGAAATTTGGAAAAAAATAAAACGGAATTTAGGAAAAAAGAAAACGGATTTCATAGGGCCCTAATTGACTAATGATATCACATAGCCTTCAATTTCAAAATTTCAAAATGTATTAGTAAATGATGAAATTAACTAAATATGAACAATACTTCTACAGCATTAATTAACCTTAATTAATATTACAAATGGACTCTTGTAAAGTCTCCATAAGTGTTAATATATTTTGCTGTGTGCGTCATTCTAATGAACTGTCAAACCCTACACTTAGACATTGTTGGGTTTTTTCCTTAAAAAGACATTTGGAATATATTCACGTTAACTGCAAAATAACTTATTGGTAATTATTAAATCTCTTGACAGTCATAGTTTAATTGCATTAGCTGCCTGAGGCTGTTTATATGTTTCCTCAGGTATTGATGACAAAATTGGGGTATCAATCCAACCCAAAAGCATAGTTTTAGAAAGGCAAATTCTGCAACTTAGGCCATATATGCATGCAAAATTAGACTGTACACCATAAGTAAATATTAATGAGTCAACAAGTAAATAGATGGCTATGTTTACCAATGTTTCAGTGTTTATGTAACTGCAGTAGGGCGTCAACATGCATGCCGTCGACAGTCGTCATTACCTCCGTTGCTATTCAATTAGGCGAACACTCGTCAGATCTCGAGACCTTAGTACCGGAACACTTGTACACCACAGGGGAGGTCTTTCGGCCCAGGCAGGTACACAGCAGGAGGACGCACCTGTGCATTGAAGCTTAATGAGGGAGCAGTCACCTGCTTGTTCCCTTTGCCACCTCACAATTACTGCTGAAACTCCCTCTACTTACACCTTGGACCTCAAGGGGCCACACAGCTCTGCACTGATCAGCACAAACACACACACGCTTTAAAACATAGTTAATCAGTCCCTTACATCAGGGAGACGCAAAATAATGCACATCAGCTTTTTGGGTGCAAAGTTATGGACAGGGCATGTTATAAAATCAATACGTCTGCTTGGAAAAGTACCATCCATTACAGTGGTAGGCTGAGTAGATGTAATCTGTAAAGAGAGAGTGAACGTGACCTGATTTGGTGCAGAAAATCACCATTAGCTAATACTTGATATGGTGTGTTAGAGACATATATTGGACATATATATTATACTTTAGAGGTTGGTTTCGATGTGAGTCACAATTAGGATTGAATGTTTCAATTTTGTCTGTAATTTATAGTTTTATGTTGCACGGCAAACCCCCTTTAAAGCACCAGTGATACAATACATTCAGACAGGTGTTTTGGCCATTACATCACAATTGAATTGTTTTTGAGCATCTGTTTAAACCATAAAAACTTTATGTATCTGTCTTAATCTGTTGAGGTGTCCATATATCATTTTGAAATGTGCCAGTAAGTGTGACCCTAAACCAGTAAGACCTAATTATAGGGCTGTAGGACCACCTATTCAGCTAGTTGTTAAGATAACACAATAACTAAACGGTTTGTGTATATCCCTAGACTGGAACGATTGGTCTGCTGAACCGAAAGAGCTAGATGTTTAATTTGTTTTCATTGTTTTGATATTGTAAAGGAGCTTTTTAACTGTAGTTCATGCATTCTGAACCTGCTCTAGTCGCACTTGACCTCTTTTTCTCTGTCTGTTTCTATGTTTTTAGATCCGATGGGAAAAGAATATCACATTAGGAGAGCCTCCTGGATTCCTGCACTCATGGTGGTGGTATGTATCGATCTTGTAACTCAAAACCCCTAACATTCTCTGACGGTATGGCCATGCTAGCTGCTAGCAGCAGCAGAGGAGCTTAAATGAAAGCTGGTCCATTATTTTTGGAAGTAGGTGTCTCCTTATTACAGTTACATTTGTATGTTGCCGTACAAAATTAGGCCTGTTTTATACACAGATGTTAGAGTGAAATGCTGTGTGCAAAGTATGACTGATTGTTGATTTCAAGACAAGTTCTTGTATTGCAGTCCATTCAATAAGGTCCAATATTCACAAGCCTGTTGAAACAATCAGGATTCTTGCTTAACCAGCAAGTTTCCCTTGGTCAGCCAACAGAGAACCCAGACTCGTATAGTTGACCAGCTTTTTTTGCTAGTAAAAAACATAGCTAAGCTAGTGGACTAGCTAGACTAGCAAGAAGCTAGCTTGGACTAGCTTGGAAATTCATGCTGATCTAAGCTGTTGTTTACAGCAGGGAACCCTAGTTTCCTGGAGTTTTTTTGTCCTCTGGTGATTTTTTCAGAAGACTCATTTTTTATATTTTGTCTGTTGAACTATCGAGCCCAAGATACACAACAGTAGAACCAATCAAACAGACTGTACACCTATCCATTACGGCCTTATTTCACTGGAACCAAAGGAAATATGGCGTCTATCCTGACTTGGGTCCTTTGGAGACTCTCATGTTTGTCTGGAATTCACGTTATGTTCTTAGCTTACACAAAAATAAGATCAGTGCGTGTAGATCAAGTTCACACAGAGCAGTGTGTTCATTTATCACACTCAACTTATTCTCCATCTTGGATTACTGGCTCCCCTCTGTGAGATTATTAGGAGTCTAGTAGGTTTTGGAGGGTCCTTGTATGGTGTTGACACTATTAGAGGAGCATCTGTCTGGAGCTATAACACGTAGAGGAGGGGGTCGTGTCAGGGTTTAAGGGATTCGGAGGGGCCACGAAGTACCGCCCTCCTCACCAACCCCCCTCCCCCAAACAAAAGGGCCAGATGGTAAGGGAAAGCCAACCCCTCCCCCCTGTGCGTACCCCCACCAACCTTTGTCTGTAGGCCTGTCCTTTGTTTGCGGAAGAACCCTCAAACGGATTAACTCCTTGCATTCCAGTCTTCTTTGTGTTAAACAGCCAAATCTCCTTCTCCACTACCCCCACCTTTGCATTCTCTTCCCTTCTGTCTAAGGCAGTTTCCTGTTGTAAGGGGGTTTGAATGGTAGCACCAGGCTCTGGGGTGGGGCAGAAGGGGGTGGAGGCAAAGTTTGGTGAGAGGGGCAATCATCCACATCTGTTGTCAGGCAAGCAAGGGGTTGGGGGTGGTGGTTTTAGTTGGGGTGCAGGTGTGGATCGCAAAAAAAGATGACCATTTGCGATTTATCTTACGCATAGATTTGTTTATTGGATGTCTGGTAAGAAAGGAGAAAGTCGAGTGACAGAAATGTTACATTGATTTACTTTGAGATGGCCAAAAGCTGACATCCTTCTTTGTGATTGGTAGAGATGAGAGAAAAGCCACACAGAAGTGTTCACCTCCAACACACTCATTTAAGTGCAACCGTGTTAACGCAGGAAACAAACAAACAAAAAAATATATGGTTGTGTGTGCATTTAAAGTTGACCTGGATGTAAATTAAAACAGGTAGAAAACAACGTCTTTAAACAATCAATCTTACTTTATAATCTTTCTCCTCTAACACAGTCTAAAAAGACTTCCTGCAAATGAAAAGGCAGCCGATTTACATCTTATGCTGATAAACTCTTAGGTCAGGTCATGTTTTACAATATTGCCTTGATGCCAAGAGCAAAAGAAACATATGTGGGTTAACAAATGGACATACAGCATTTCTTTTATATTGTTTGGTGACATCTTTGTGTTGTTGCATGGGCGTTGTACAATTTTCTAACAAGTGTTTTCTATGTAGTACTTCTGATGTGTTGCAGCATGTTTTTAAAACCAAGACTAAATCAAAATAATGGCCCAAAAATTGATTGATGTGTATAGTCTTAAATTAAATAATTTGTCTAAAACTGCCAAATGGCTATTTAGGCATTGTTTTCACAAACTCTCATTTATTTTAATAGGTAAGGTCCCACGCCATCTAATTACTTCCTCCTACATATTTGTTTCTTGCTGAATATACTGTTTTACTCAGAAATACGTGACATTGAGGTATTGGAAGTTATTTTTCTGGGATGTTGTCTTATATTATCTATTATTATCAAAAGGAAAAAATGTTGGAGACATGGTATGGCGGGAAGTGTACATGTACAGGCCTGTTGCATGTGCAGGCAACCAGTGTTCGAATCCAGTGGTTTAGGTCATTGCCCCATCCCAATGCCCCTTTTTCTTCTGATTTTTTGCTGTAATATTTGAATTTTAAAAGTGCCTCTAGTTTTTCTTTTATGTATTTAAGTTTTATTACTTTCTTTTATAAACAACGATTTAGAGGTTTTTTTTAATTTGTTCAGTATTTTTTTATGCAAGTGATATTGCAAGCGAGATGCCGAAGCAAATGTATGATGTTTATCTCACGTTCCACGCTTTAAAAACTGTAAATATCAGAGGTGGAGGTCTTAAGTTACGTGACTGCACTTGTGAATTTAAAGATTTCTAATAAATTACTTGACTGACTTGAGAAGGAATACTCTAAATTAAATCAGTCTCAAACCTCATGGCTTGATTATGGGTTTATAAAAATTGTAATTAAACTTTTAAAAAATCATTAAAAAATCTTTGCGACATTAACTAATAAACAAACTACAAGCCACGGAACCAGTGGCGCAGGCAACTTTGATCTATGCGGCTGCATGACGCTGTGCAGAGCACAGAACAATACGGGGTAGAGAGAATCTACGAATATTGTTTGTTTGGATATAAATACTTTGAAATTAACCATATTCATAAAAAGAAATTTGGTGGACGCACAATTTGCAACTCGAACATGACCACCGCAACCTCGAACTTCATTCACCACACCACTGATATCTTGAGATTATGAAGATATTTTGTATATGTAGCTTATGCCGAGTTCACACTGCACGATTTTCAAACTCGTCGGATCGCCGTTGTTTTCACACTGCGTGACTATCTGGGGTAGCATTCAGTTGCTGCTGTGTTCACATTGCACGATGGATCGGCGACAGGGGGTTTCACACTGCATGACTTCACAATAGGAAGAATCGCCGACAGCTCTGTCTGGTCCGCAATCTACGTTTCACAACAAAACACACACGAGAAGTGATAAGGAAATAACGCGAGAACCCACGTGCGTCAGACCCAGACCGGAGTCTTTGATAATTCACACTGCGCGATTGTCACTCGCGTGAACGAGCACCGATTTGCCTCCGATTTCGGGCATTTGTCGGCGATTTCGCAAAACCTGTCGGCGAGTGAAAAATCGGGCTAAAATCGTGCAGTGTGAACTCGGCATTAGGTTTTATGATTGTCTTTAGATCCCCATTAATATTAACTTTGTTAATAATCATTAATATCACGCTTTGTAGTTTCAATAATGTGGCCCAATGTCAAACTTTAATTCAACAGACATTTTTTCATTTAGAAACTTAGTGTTTTAAAAACATTCACACGTATTTAGTTTAGAATATTCCAGCTGGGCTGGTGGTGATTTTTATTTTATTTTTCTTTCCATCTACTTTTTTTCCCTTGGTGACGCATCGAGCTTGCCACGTGACATCTCAAAGTCAAAATATTCATGAACCTGCCAACTAAATTTATGTATCTGACATTGTGATTTTCAGACATGTTTAAGTAAATGTATTTTGTCTTTTAAATATTTTTTCATAATGAACATGTTGATCGATAACTAGAAGAATAGAGTAAACCTTATAGTTAACTACACAATGAAAGGCGAAAGAAAACAAATCAAGCTCTATTTTGATGACCATTGACTTTCATTACATATGGACAAAAACTTTCCTCACAATTTATTTTGTAACATGGAAAAAAGAAAGTCACACAGGTTTGGAACAACATATGAGTCATGGATTGACCAGGCTTTCCCGTCTCACTCACACACACACACACACACACACACACACACACACAGACAGCGCACTCTCTCTCACCAGCCTTATGATGACCATCAACTGCCACTCATCAGCTCATCATTCGGCTCTGCGTTAAAGCATTGTTGAATTTTATTATTTTTATGTGAGTTATTATTTTTATGTGAGTTGTGCTCTATTCACAGATTGGATTCTTTTATTAATTACAGTTTTTAACTTCTGAAAAGTGAAAAGTTTAATACAAATTGTATTTGACTGTTCTCATTTTCAGTAGTGAATAAATGCCATTATTCACTGTTTATTGCTGATTTTAAAGCTTACTGAACTTTACATGATTTGGATATCTACAGTTCTGCATATAAATACACAACATAAGATTGGCCCCTCTGTATCAGTCGTGGCCCCTCTTGTCGTGGCCGCACTCAGTTGAAAAAATCCTCGAATCGCACTTGGTTCATGCAGAGTACACGAGCATTAAACAAGTTTTCCTGCTGCAATCAAGGTAACCGAACGTGACTTGCTTGTGCTCGCCATTCCTCCCCACCTTGATGTGTGTCTAGTTGTGGCTTTTCAGTAACAAAGTGTAACTGGCATCTTATTTAATTTCCCCTGCACCCTGATTGGATTTGAGATGGTCCTGCTGTCTCCCTCCAGCAGCTTTCTGACAAAGCTGCAATCTCTTTAACGGCAGCTGATAGATATGATAATGCCGCCCAGCTTTATTGTGCACTGACTGAAGGGCGAAGAACAGGCATGATGTTCCCCTGTCAAAGTGCCTTTCTTGCTTTTTCTGTTCACCTGTTTTATTTGTTTCCTGGTTTATGGCTTCTATAGGATGTGAGGTGTTAATGTATGGTACCTCCTGCTGAGTGCTCATTTACGCACTTATCTATGGTTCTTGTAATGCATCTTGTCGTCTTTGATTTGATGTCTTGTCTTTTGTGCCTCTGCTTACTCCTCCTCTCATTTAGGTGGAGTAGATCTTCACCATTGTTATAAATTCATCACCTCCACCACCTTTTTAAAGGAATAGTTGACCCAAAAATTCTTGCAAATATGTGTGACTTTATTTCTTCAGTGGAATGTAAAAGGTGAATTTTTGAAGAATATCTTGATGTGAAAGAGGACTAAGGCTATCAAGCTCAAAAATGACAACAAAAAACAAAAAAGCAACATAAGAGTTTTTTTTTAATCTGTGTGAAGATCAGACTGAATGTCTTTTGTTTTTGATGTTCATGAGAGAAGTCTGATTTGTGAATGAACCGTGATTTTGAGTCCGAGAATCTTTTAATTGAATCAGTTCATAGAAAATGTCTGAACGATTCAATCATGAATTATACCCATTCGTTAATTTTTCACAGATCTGCATATGAACTACTTTTATAATACTTCTATGGTACTTTTGTGTCCTTTTAAGACTTTTGAAGGACTTTATTCATTGTGATTTCATGGAAAATGGCAACCAGTGTGGCCTTTAAAATGTCTCTTTTATGTTCCATGGAAGATGCCCTCATTTTGTTCCAAATCCATTTAGTTTTGTGTAAGTGATGACACAATTTTATTTTTTGGCTGACCTATTCCCTTTAAGAAGTATGAATTCAATCTGCATTTAAATCTAAACACTTGATTTTTCCCGCATTTCCTCTACTTTTGTAGTCTTGAGCTGAACGTTGTTTAACCTTGCTCTCTTATTCCACCCATAAACAGTGAGTGATTTATGAAAGCTGTCATAAGCTATCCTTTGCGTTATGCTCACGAACACAAATCCGTCAAATGGTTTCCACTCCACGGCAAGATATATGAAATGGGTGGAAACTGATTAGCCCCATTGACCTGTCGCTGTGCCGTGAGTGGCCTATTTTGTCCTTTTTGCAATCTGTCACATCAAACGTAAGCTTTTTCCCACATTCAGAACAGAAGTCTAATTTTGTTACATCAGCAGAAATAATGAACAGCGGTAAAAAGTGCTGCCTTGGTAGATGGAACAACTTGCATTCATTTTCTTAAGCCCTGCTTCAGCAGCTTTTATGAAGCGTCCATTAAATCGATATCTAAAGAGTGAGAGCGGTTTAATGCCGACCTGTTTAACAGGTACTTATTTTCAATGAAGTAATTAAGGGACCATTTGGAGTGCAACCTGCTCCCCCTAGAAGCCCTTAAGGACTGTATTTCCTTAATTAACAAATATCAAGCCTAATTGATTAGCCACTTGCAGGTCACACCTCATAAAGTGGGAAGCTATCCAGGGGTTATGATTGTAGTGACCCAGCTTTGATAGAAGCTGTCAAGTTCTTCTGAGTGTGATACTGAAGAAGATCAGTTTTCTGTTCTTACTCTGATGTGTCTTTTACAGTGTGCTGGAGCCATTTTGCACATTCACACCATAGAAAAATTAAATCTGCATTGCCCCCTAAACCCCGCAGGTCTCGCATCTTGAATCGCTAACTTGGAAGTTTTCAGAAGTTTTCAGAACAGTAGCTCAATCTGGCAAAATCTAAATTAAATTAGTTTGGATGTTAAAAATTAATTGTATCATTGTTATAAATTCATTGCTATGAATTTGATTTCTTAGTAGATTTGGTGGTTCCATCACAAAAAGCTCAGAATGGTGAAAAGGCACTGAATTAAATTATATTGCATGTTAAAAGACACCCTTAAGGCTTGTAAATGACAACTGCATTGTTGTGTTTTTATTTGTGAGTAGGTCAGTTGCGTCACAGCTGAGGCCAAGCATACCAAAACACATTTTTGGTAAAGATTAGGAGAAACTATTTGGAGAAATTAGAACAACTGGGGCTAGAACAAACCATGCCATTCAGTGCTATTTTTCACATGGCCTTTATGTGTAAAGTGTACCACAGCCTGTTGGTGTTTAGTTAGGCAGCTGTTTAGTTCGGTGAAGTTCACCCATGTATTTGATACTCAGCTTTGTTTATTCTGCCTTATTTTGCAGTGTATTCTGGGATCTGTACTGTGCAGCTCCAGATCGACGGGAGACATGTGAACATTCCAGCGAGGCCAAGGCTTTCCACGACTATGTGAGTTCCTATTTTATCCACCGTGGGGTTGGGTTGAACCTGAAGTTCTGCTATTGGTGACTGCGTTAACCCAGATGGCCAGGTTTACCGTCTGTTTACAGTTACCGGTGCTGTTTTATCTTCATTTTTGGGTCATTTCTGATAGAACGTATGTGCTATAAATATAGCACAGGTTATGACTTTTTAAAGGGGTCATATGATGCAATTTCAAGTTTTCCTTTCTCTTTGGAGTGTTACAAGCTCTTGGTGCATAAAGAAGATCTGTAAAGTTGCATTGACTAAAGTCTCAAATCCAAAGAGATATTCTTTATCAAATTTAAGAGTCAACCACGCCTAACTAAAACGGCTCGTTCTAACATGCCACTACATGTCTACGTCACTATGTGGAAATATTAGCATAATGCCACCCAAATGTTCATGCAAAGAAAGAAGGCATGGTTTCAGGAACAGCAGTAGTGTTGATGCAGCCATGTCAGGGAGACTGTGTGTGTTTCAGTGAGAAAGCAAAAGCACTTTATTTGGCCTTCCGGAAGTAGATGCAATTAGGAATCATTGGTTAAGATTTATTTACAACAGAACAGCACAACCCAGATGTTCGAATTTGTGCAACGCATTTTATGGACGACAGTTTTTTGAACCTAGAAGAGTACAAGGCTGGCTGTGCA